GAAGGGAAATCCAGGTGAGGGTCAGGAAGCAAATCCAGGTTCAGTCAACAGGCACAATCAAGCAGGAGTCTGAAGACGGGTCATGCAAACATATCCGAACGGAACAGGCAGGCTCCCAGGTCAAAGGCAGAGTGGGTCAGGATCAGGCAATCAGAAAACAATCAGGTATGATAGAGAACTCTCACCAAAGGCTCGAATAAACTTGCACTGATGACTGGAAGCAGGCAGGTTAAATAGGGACTGGAACAGGTGACACAGATGAGCAGTGATGAGAAACTGGGCGGAGTTAAGCATGTGAATGGAATGAACAATCAAGCCAGTCATCACTGCCAACATCATGAAATAGGTAATATCCCGAAGGCATGTGGAATGCCATTTTATCTCCTGTTTCCTACCATTTTGCTTTAAAGTGTGCTAAAACTAGGGAGGCATCTTTCTATTTTTAATGTTTTCCTTTTTCAAGGTGGCTACCTTGCCCAGGGAAGTATGCAGGGAAGTAGTAACCATCACCAAAAGTGTCAGTTTGTGAAGAGGAATAAATTTAATGTTTGCCCTCTGCAGTATTGTTCAGTGATACGTAATTGGAACAGATTCTAAAATGTATAACTAAGTTATCTGATAATGAAGTAAAGTAAAACTTTCTTTTGGGGAAGGAGAACTCTTTTTTAATTTTGATAGAAGTATTTAATGTTAAATTATTATCATTGTTACAAATATTAAATATTGAATTATTATTGTCATTAAAAATTGGTTAGAGAGGACAGGGTTGTGAGAAAATACTGGTATTTTTTCACATTTCATCCCATATGTCAGCACAGGTCCAAGGTATGAATGAAGATTAGAATGTACGGGAGTATTCACACTGAACAAAGCCAATTGAGTATAAGACACCATTGAAAGCTGCATTTAAGCTTTGCCTTCAATGTCAGTATGGATCTTGATGAACTTGTTAGTATTTAACACTAAATCAGATAGGAACTCAGAAAACTGATCTAAAAATCCAGGGTAAGGACCTGGTGGAACATACAATTAGTTTTATTCATTTATTTTCCAAGTTGCATAATAAAGTTTGAAAGTTTGAAAAAAACAACAAGTAATTAAGAAAATGTCAAACACTTGTTATTGTTGCATAATCCTTTACCACTGTTTTCTCTTTAAGCTTGCACATGACGATAATGAGCCATCAGCTCTCACTAAGGACAAGAGGTGTGAACACTCTCTTCACTACAGAACTTCATTAACAGCTAGAACAGCTAATGAGCTTCACACCTAAAATTGTTCTGAGCCCATAGGAGCTCCCCACAATAACACTTTTTTATGTACGGATTCAGAAGAAATACTTCAGAAAGTAATGTACATTAAAGTTTTCATTCATGTCCCTGCATTTTCACCAACAGTGTGTGTGCATCAATAGCAAGGTCATATTGTATAAGTCAACTCGCTATTCCATTTATTTCCATTCAGATCATGTATCCACTTCAATTGCCATAAAAATGGAAAATCTGCAATATCCTAATGCATAGTTTTAAGGTCTTGAAATCATATTTAATATAATTATATATAATAATCATTTTAGAGCTGCCTACGGGCTTCTGAGCTATGAGGCATAAAGAAAAAATACAATAGTATACTGCAGTAAAACACCACAAATACTTAAAAAAATTAAGCCAACACTTAAAACAACTTTGTTACCCTTTAGATTGATGTTTATTATGTTTCTCACCAGGTGTGAGACGGTTGATGTAAAAAGATTCTCATCTGGTACATTTAAATTTTAACATATCTGGGATAGTTTACATATACTTTTTTCTGTAAAGCCGAAATTCTGTAATTTATTTACTTCTTTTTGTTACTCAAGTTTTATTTGGCATAAAAATTAAATAAAATATTTAACTAAGAAAATTACACCGCAACCCCACATCCCCCATGACCGCTCTGCTGCGCTCCAGAATGCCTGCACAAAGCAAAGCCTGCAATGTTCCTCCCATCCTGCTTTGCTCAGAACTCCTAAGAGTTCAGGGAGAGAATGCATGATATTATTGTTAAATTCATAGGATAAAAACATGTGGTAATGGATGCTTGATCAGTTTAATCAGCATCCAGAATATGTGTAGTTTCTGTACAAATATTTTCATTTTGTTGAGAAACAAAAAATCAGGTGAAAATCAGAGATAAAAATTGTTTTTAAATCAGCTGTTTGGAACTGGGTCTAACATACTAATTGAAGTCTTACCCCCCACTTCCTTTGAATGAAAAAGGGAAAATCTGTTAGAAACATGGTGGGGTTTGTGGTGAGTCCTGATCCAGCCTTCTACATATCGTCACCCAGCTGTTCTTGGTTCAGAGAGTTTCAGGAGCTGCTGGAGGACCACTACGTTAACATGCTCCTAGTCTTGGTGGCACGAACTGTTAGCTCTTGACCCTTGTCTAATACCAATACGTTCAACAGCCTAAAGCTGGAACCGTAGCTCTGACACCCTAGCCTCTGAAGATGCAAAAAAACTACAAGACTCATACACATACCATTATTGCTAAATGAGGAAGAGGAAAAAACTGTACACCTGACAAAGAGAGCAGGAGAGAGAAGAGGGAGATTTAGAGAGTGGAAAAATAATTATAGAGAAAAGCCAAGACAGTTTTGGACTAAGCTATCCCGTACCACCAGAAATAAAAATC